TCAGCAGGAGGAAGGCACTGGATCGTGAAGGCCGCTGGCGGCTCCGGGTACTGCTGGATGTCAGGAGTTCCTGGGCGGTGGCACCTCCAGTGCCAGGGCTCCTCACACAGGCGTGGGCTTTCATTAATTTGGGAGCTGAGCTGCCAACATTTCCCGGGTTTCTTGTTTGCTATTTGACTTTGATGACCTGTTGGAGTGGAGGCTGGAGACAGGCCTGCACAGGGGAGCGGGCCCTGAGAAAGTCAGGGGACGGCAAGTGCAGACACCACGTTGCATGAGCTTTCCCTGGTGGTTTAAAGTTGTATTTCCTTCTGATCAGGTAAAGACGCCATGATGACAAGGTCTGAAAGAAGCGAAGGAGGTGGAAGCTGTCAGGCTGAGGGTCAGGGCAGTGCGGCCGTGACATCAGGGACAGGTGGGAGCAGCCTCGGTCTGCATAGCCACAGGCTCTCTGCCCCCCCCCCCCCCCAGGTGTGACCCACAGTCCTCAGTGGGGCAGGTGAGGGCCCCAGGATCCCGCCCTCCCACGAATGGCTGGGCCTCCAGCCTGAGCACTCACTCCTGTGGCAGTGGGAGGGGGTGGGGAACAAGCGAGGGGAAAGGGCCGTGCCGGGGGACCGCCCTCTGACCCCGGGAGCTGCATATGCCCGCCTGCCACCTGGAGTAGGGATCCAGACTGGCAGCCTCGCCCGTGCCACTGCTGGCTCTGCGTGCCCGTCTGAGGGGCACTGGCCTTGTCTGTGAGCTCTGGCCCTGGGAGTGACTCGCACCTGGAGGTCCAGCCTCCTCCACCACGCCACGACCCTTCCCCTCCATCTCGAGCAGCTGGGAAGGTGGGATGCTGGTTGCCTGGGAGGGGCCTGGGAGCCCCCACCCTCACTGTTCCCACTGTGTCGCCTGTCCATCCAGAACCCCCTTATGGCACTGACAGTACTTCTAAGCAGGGGTGGGGAACGTCCAGCCCACGGCCAATTAGGCCCAAGAAATCGTTTGGTCTGGTCCTGCCCAGACAACCGCAGGTGGGACTCGAAATTCAATAAATCTAGGAGCTTTCTTCATAGCAACACACATTTATATTAAGTGAATCATAATAACAATGTAAATTTTGAGGGACAAGCAAGGAACGTTAATTACAAGGTAGACAGGACACACACGTGTACATGACAGGACAGACAGATATGCCTCTCGCCGGCTGCCCGCGGCCGGCTGCCATAGTGCGTGACTCAGAGGGCAGTCAGCACCAGGCAGGCGGGAAAGTGCTAACAACTGTGGCCAAGCCACGGCGGCCGGTGCTGATGAGACCGAGGCAATGCGGTGCGGCGCTTCCTCGCGACGTGGATGACCTCGCCTCCGATGGCTGACAGTGATGTTGTTGACTTCTTCATTGACACAGACCATAACTCCGATCCAACCTCTATCCACTCGCCCACCATCAACAATCCTCGCAAAGACGGAATCTCAGGTGAAGATGAAGGAAATTACGGTACCCAAAAAAGACCAAGAGTGGATGATACTGAAGCGTGTCGTTTGGGGTGCAGAGTCTTCCTTGCTCTACAGTTTGAAGAATAAACTTGTGGACTAAGGCAGATTTCTTTTAATAAAAATGTAGTTTATTGGAAGCATATACAAATTCCATCTGGGCAGGGATGTCCCCAAAGGGCACTCCCTGGGGAGGAGCCCTCAAATGGGAAAGCCTGCTCTCTCGCCCTCTCTCTTTCTCTCTAATGGGAAAAAATTAACCTAAAAAAATCTGAAATCTACTGAGTCTCCTTGTCTCTGGGTTTATAAAGGCTGTAGCTCTTTGTCTGAACATGACCCTTTATAATTGGACCCTTCCTTAATCTAGGACCCCGTGCTTTCCCCATTGGTCACTCTGCTACGTAGTATCCATTTCAAAGTCTAAAGCCCACGTGGTGCTCCTCCCCTCCCCCCATCTTGTAACATTTCTTTATCATCTGTGAAAGCATTCTGGCCTCTTGTAGCTATTTCTGCCCTTCACATATCCATCTTACCTGTTCAGATTGGAGTTGCTTTTGACCTTCCTTATGGCTCTCTCTCAGTTGTCCTGGCCAGAGATGTTTTATTACCCCTTGTGGCTCTCCCAGCTGCTCATATCAGGGCTGCTTTTGATCTGCCTTATGGATGCTTAATTGCTCAGGCCAGAGGTACTGCTGTCCTTGGTTTATGACTGCTTTAATTGCTCAGGCCAGCAATGTTTCCATCCTCCCTGGACCCCTCTCCTGTCAGCCTAATTAAGCTAGCTAGCTAACCCTTATCAACACGAATGTTGGATATGTTTCAAATGCAAAATGCAGGATTAGAACCCTGGCTGGTTTGACTCAGTGGTTAGGGTGTTGGCCTGCAGACCGAAGGGTCACGCGTTCGATTCCCCATCAAGGGCACATACCTAAGTTGCAGGTTCCCCAACCCCAGTAGGGGTGCATGAGGTGGCAACCAAATCGGTGTTTCTCTCACATCCATGTTTCTCTCTCTCCCCCTCCTCCCTCCCTTCCACTCTTTCTAGAAATCAATGGAGAGAATATCCTCGGGTGAGGATTTTTTATAAAGTACAGTTATCAAAGCAAAATAATCGTGTCACTGGCGACACACACACACTGGATAGTTATGGAAACTTGCATGGTCTGACACCCTACCAATGGTGGCTACAAAGAAAAGGAAAGTTGGTGCAGTGTCGATCTTTCCAAGAGTGGGGGAACTGCCTCCCTCGGGTCACTGGCTGGCGCGGTGTTGAAAGCACTGGAGGGTTCTGCAGGAGGGTTCCCATTGCTCCCTGGCAACTCCAGGGGCGTAGCAAATGCTGCCCAGCGGGCGGTTGTCCTTCCTGGGATAACGGCGGAGTGTGACAGGCGAACGGAGCCGCTGGCCCTGGCAGCCACGCATGGGCAAGAGGTGAGGGCTTGTTTGAGAGACTTGGTTGACGAAAATTTGAGCTAACATTTGAAAAGTTAAGTGGCCTTTATAGATGGAGCTCCAGCCATGGTTGCCGCGCAAAAAGGGTCACTTGCATTTGTCAAGAAGGAACTGAAAGGTCTCGGCGGGATCGGAGTGGGTTCATTGTGGGCCACCGCGTCACACGCCAGAAGCCTCTGTGCACAGTTGTGCCAACAGCGGGTGACAGCAGTGGTGTCATGCCTAGACTCTGCCAAAAGCAGAGGGTTTAACAGCCGCCAGTGCAAGGAAGGAGTCACTGAACGACCTTGACTGAGTACGGTGACCCTGTTCACCAGGTGCAGTGCGTGCTCCTGAGGGTTTGTGAACTGCGGGGGAGCCGGGGGAGCCGCGCAGTTCGCGGAGCAGAAGGGAAACCGGTCAGGGCTGTGGGTCTAGTGCGCGGTGGCCTCTCGGAGCCGGAGCCGTGTCAGGCTGCAGGGCCCAGCCGGCTTCTCGGATCCCTGCTGTCACCGCGAAACCAGTGAGGCTGGACTGAGGCTGAGCACAGGGCAGCTCGAGAGGAATAGGTTGGCGCTTGTCACTCTGGAAGGACAGGCCTCTAGGACAGGAGAATGCTGGGGACTGTGGGGACTCGCGGAGGCCTTTAGGGAAGATTCAGGAGTGGAGAGTAAACCGATAGAACTGAGCATCTTTGCCAGCCATTCAGCGTGGAGCCCTTGGTGTGCCTACAACACGAATCACTCAGCTGCAGAGCGATGAGGAGCTGCTTGAGTGCTACAAACGTGGCCTCAGCAACAATGCGCTTCCCACTTTGAGGAGACATGCATTGACATATGCATCTGTGTCCCCAACTTCCTGCTGTGAGTTCTTTCCTTTTTAAAATTAACTCTTTATTGTTGAAAGCATTGCCTATGTGCTCCTCTGCCCCCATTGACCCCTGCTAGCCCACCCTCACCCCGTCCCAGGCCTTCACCACCCTGTTTTGTCTGTGTCTATGGCATATGCATATATGTATACAAGTTCTTTGGTTGATCACTTCCCACCCACCCACCCACCCTGCCCTGCCTTTCCATCGAACAGATTCCTCAGTCTGTTTGATGCTTCCTTGTCTCTGGATCTATTTAGTTCATCAGTTTATTTTGTTCATTAGAGTCCACATGTGAGTGAGATCATGTGATACTTGTCTTTCTCTGGCTTATTTCACTTAGCATGATACTCCCCAGGTCCCTCCATGCTGTCTCAAAGGGTAAGAGATCCTGCTTTGTTACAGCTGCATAGTATTCCATGGTGTAAATGTACCACAGCTTTTATCCACTCGTCTGCTGATGGGCACTCAGGCTATTCCCAGATCTTAGCTATTGTGAATTGTGCTGCTATAAACACAGGGGTGCAT